GAACATTCATTCCCATCCTCCCACATTTCAGCAGCAGGCAGCTGATCCTCCCAGGCGCTCAGTAACTGTACAGTCATCCCGGAACCCTCTTCTCTTACCCCCACATCCAACCCCAGCAGAACCTGTGGCCTCCCCTTCAGAGTCTGTTCACTTCTCCCCACCCCTTCGCCACCTCCCCGGTCCAGTCCCAGCATTTCTCCCCCTGCACCAGCCTGGTGGCCCCCTCCCAGGTCAGGGAGGCCCTGCTGGCCCCAGCACTCCTACGTCCCGTTCTGGCTTTTATTTATTTATTATTTATTTTTATTGATTTCAGGGAGGAAGGGAGAGGGAGAGAGAGATAGAAACATCAGTTATGAGAGAAAATTATGGATTGGCTGCCTCTCACACATCCTGCGACCCTGGAGACTGAGTCTGCAACCCTGGCATGTGCCCTGACCGGGAATTGAGCCTTGACATCCTGGTTCATAGTCTGGACTCCAGTCCGCAGGCTGATACTCTATCTACTGAGCCAAACCAGCCAGGGCCCGTTCTGGCTCTTTAAAATCCCACCACACTCCAGCCATGCATCTTACTTATTTGCAAACACCACTGGGTGGGGTCTGCCTTTCTTGTAAGTTTTAAAAGATAACTGGCTGCTGAGTGGCACTGTGCTGCAAAGGAGTGGGACTGTTCAAAGTATCCGTTCCCCAGGGGCTTCCCCCTCTATTTGCCACTCCCACTCTATTCAATCTCCACCCTATTGCAGAATGAAAGCCCAAGCATGCCCCTTCCTGCCTGCAATCCTCCATGGCTCCCCATTGCCTCGCAGTCCTCATGTAGAGTCTCAGGCCCTGATCTCCTGCCACTTTGTCATCACCTACTCTACTCTGTCCTCCCAAGGTGCCTGTTCTCAGCCCCCCACCCCCACCCCCATATCTCTCTCTCTCTCTCTCTCTCTCTCTCTCTCACACACACACACACACACACACACACACACACACACACACAGAGTGCTGGGCCTCCCACTCTCTTTCTTCCCCAGGGTCTGCGTAGGTCTCTCCCTATATCCCCATTTGCAGTCCACTGGGCCTCCACCTCTTGCTCCAGGGAAACTACCATCATGGTTGCTTGGTGCTCTGTTGCATGCCTAGCCCTGGGCCAGGAGGGTGTACTTGTTTAATGAACTAAGACAAAACAAACCCAGAGAACAGGTCATCCATTCAGTGACTAGTTACCCAGAGTCACAACTGCTTTGGGGGAAAATAAGCCTGAAGGGGAGAGATGGAGGTGGAGGTTATAGACAGGAAATGCCTCTCTGAGGTGGTGACATTTTGGCAGAGGTCTCAGGGAGGTGAGCCATCCCACCAAGTGGCAGGGACGGTATGTGCAAAGGCCCTGAGGCAGGATGTGGAATGTGGCTTCGCCTGGTGAGAGGGGAAGAGGGGAACGAAACGGGGTGGGAGGTTACAGGGCAGACCATGCAGGGCCTTGACTTGTTTTTTTGTGTGTGTGTTTTTTTTTTCCTGAGTGAGATGGGAGCCAGGGAGGTTTTGAGTAGAGAGAGATGGCATCTGACTCAGGTGTTCACAGACTCCTGACAGTGAGGGGTGATTAGACTGTGTGTGTGTGTGGGGGGGGTGTGCGGGAGGCCTGAGAGTGGTGGGTGCTCCCCACTCCCACCCTCTTCTTTCCAGTCTACCCACCGTCAAAACCAGAAACCTGCAGTTTCTCCCATCCCCCCTTTTGTCTGCCCTCCGGCCTACCATCCACCAACTCATGTCACCTCAGATTTCAAAACC